GAAGCACTGAACATTGTAAAGCACACAAATACCACTGCTATTAATCCTAATTCATGAGAAAACTATAACTCAACTATAGATGAAATTAAATATACATCACAGCTATCTTACAGTTGGATCAGAGTAGCAAATGATGTGACCGTTCGGAGGAAAACGAGATTGCATTTTTCTTTGACATCAACTAAAAGAGGCTTCCTGGAGGATGAAGCACTTAGGCTGCTCACAGGTGAAGATGAAAGGATCGTGGCATGTGCCCAAAACAACATGGAAGACGGCAGAGGGGGCAGGTGGGCATGCTATACACAGAACAGCTGCCAGAGTTTGGAGTATTTCCCTATAAAGAAGACTATGCCTGGTATATAAGGTAGGCGAAGTTTTAGCAGGGAAATGAAATTGAGAACTATCTTACAGCAAGGCTCCTACAACTGCATTATAGGCTCCTAAGTGACCATCAAGCTTGCAAGTCCAGGACACCTGTCCCATTTGGTTCGAAGGTGGCAATTGTGCCTCATTTCCTAGACAGACTGCTCTGACCAAAAAATCCCTATTGAAAATAGATGTTTAAAAGCTTACTTTGTCAAAGTGAAATGGGAGCTCCTTTATTCTCATTTATTTGGGGGAGTGTCGTCAGTGTTTTCAGCTTCCTAACAGATGTGGAATTTTGTCTATTACTAAGGATGCTTAGAAAGATGGAATCACCTACAAGGGGGAAAGGATTCAATTACAGTGAGAAGCTGACATGCCTCAAAAGCAACACTCACTTCTTCTAACTTCCCCCCACTGAAAAGCTGCTGGTGGTAACACAACCACCTTCAGAAATACCTCCAGCTACGACGCAACTTCAGTGTTCTCCTGGGCTCAACCGGTGCTACTTATTAGAGAGAAGGCTGGGCAGTCATCTGCTTCTAACTACCACCAGTTCACATACAGAACATTCATTATGTTTACACTCGTGCCAACTAACTGTGGACATCTCTGTCCTATTTAGTCCCCAAGCTTCACTTCACTCTCTGTTTCCTGAGTTGTCATAAATGTTTGAAAGGAAGGAGATGATCATTGCCACAGTTTGCTTAGTTTCAAAATAAAATGTATGAAGAAATTGGTAGTTTCCCTGACTGTTTTAGTAAAAACAGTGGTTATACCACCCCAGGCAGCTAAGAGTCAAGAGTCTCAGGGGCTTGCCTTTTTCTCATGGGGACGTTTTACAAGGCAGAAATCAGTAAAGATGAGAAGGAATATCAAATACTGAGAGGTATGAAAACCCAATGATCAGCAAAGCAGGGTGTTGTTCAAAGCTACTGAAAAAGTACCTAGTTACGGTGACTGCAAAAGCCCACCTTCCTGGAAAAAAAAAGAAAAAAGAAAAAAAAAGAAAAAAGAACAGAGAAAGGGAATATGGCAGCCAGCCTTGCTCTGCATTTGCTAAGGACCCTCCAGGTACTTTGTACTCCTCACACCCTCAGGAGGCAGCAGACAAAAGCTCACCAGAGACTCCCCGTTCTAAGCAGATGCCAGCTCCTCACAAAGGCTCACCAAACTCTGCCTGTTCTACACAGATGTCAGCTCTTGAAAACAAGTTTGCATGGAACTTATTTGGCTCAAGTATTTATACTATTTGGGTTTTTGGCCAGCCACGTTGGTCCGGCTCCCACCTTCTGATTGGTAAATACAAGCATGAGATGCTACTCTTCATAGCTAAATGCTAGCTAGCGATTGCTCAGAACACAAAGATCACTCAGCTCTTGTCATAGGGGTCCAGTATCAGATCTGAGCTATCTCAGGCAAATGGGCATTGAGCCATGTACTCACCTAGATTCTGCCTGACCCAGCAGGGCCAAGCTTACAGAATTCAGTCCATTGTTTTCAGAGCTCCTGAAAAATCTGTCTAAATTCAAATTACTTCTAATAATTTATGAATTATTGATGTTTATATTTCTCTCCTAAGTAAGAAGTGCAGAGTCCTCTAAGGTACTTTTAAATACCTGATAAACACTATACACAAAACATCAGAGAGGAGGACAATATAACCAAGGCCCTCAGTGGTTCACTGGCATTGGTAGAGAGGGCAGATAAACTCATGAATCTAACAGGAGACTGACAGCAATCTAAAAATGGACTACTTCATCGTGTCAGAGAACGGAGCCAGGGTAGTGATTTACTCAGTGTCTCAGACAGCTAAAACCCTGGGCAGGCAATAGGTCTCTGTGCCCCTGTTTCATTTCCATGACAGGACATGTCACTGTGAGGATAAAAGCACCGACAGGGGGCAGTGGGGGGTTGGGGGGGCTGGGAAAGACACTGGCAGACCAGAGGCTGCAATACCAGGACAAAGATCCATATAGGAAACAAACTCTAACTGAGATCAGAGCACAGATTTTGAGGTGAGGAATGAGATGCCAAGCTGAAGACGGTGGGATCAGACATGGGGACCAATGGCAGTCTGAAGGAGTTAGACTGTTCCACTAGATAACTGGAAAGACACAGGCAGCAGAAATACTTACACAGTCCAAAAGTCCCTTCAACACTGGGACCCAGTATATGCTGATGGTAGACTTTCAGGTTTATAATCAAAGAACCAAATGTCCTCCAGATATGAAAAGGACCCATCTGTCAGTCATGCTTGACCACTAGAGAGACCTGTCTGCCAGTCATGCCTTGACCACTAGAGAACCACCTTTGGCTCTCTGATATTTGAGAAACTACCCCCACCCAGTTCTGTGTATCCTCTTTGTCGTTCTGATCTGCTGCAGAGTTGCCAGCCATGTCTGTTTCTGAGGCCATTTTCTTGACAGCAGGAGTTTTCAAAGGACACATTAAGTACTCCAGGCTTCAAGTGACAAAAAGTCTGTTTAGAACTCTGGGCTTGAGCCAGGCTAGGTGGTACACATCTATAATTCCAACATTCTGAAGGCAGAGGTGAGTGGATCTCTGTGAATTCAAGGATAGCCTAGTCTACATAATAAGTTCCAGTCCAGACAGAGATACAGAGTGAGACAGCATCAAAACAACCCCCCCCCCAAACCTTCTGGGCTTGTGAGCATGGGGTAGGACCTCAGGGTTGGAGGAAGAGGAGAGTGGGACAAAGAGGAGGGCAGGAGGGCAGGGAGGGATGTAGATGCAGGATGCATGTGTTAAGTTCTAAAGAAAAAAACTTAAAGATTAAAAAGAACATACTTCCATACTAAAAATAAAAATAAAAAAACTCTGGGATTTATATATGTAGTAAGTCCAGAATCATCATTTTTCAATGAGTTGAGAACGTCAAGGACTCATGCCACCTGTCAGCTACTCCTCATTAACCTGTGAAGACTCACTAGAAAAATCACTACCAATAAATAGAAGTAGGTAGGACATTTCAAATGGCGAAAACAACCATGAATTATCTATTTCATGTTTAATTCTTGTTTAGAAAAAAGTGAAGCAAGAGAATACAAAAGTGCTTTTAAAACTTCCATGTGATGCATGGGTTTTATTTTTAGCTGGCACTAAGCGCTGTGTGGAATACATCCCATGCTTTATCGCACGTCATCTTTACATTAGCCCAGCTGAGCGCATACTGTTTACACTGCCAAGTCAGACCTCAGAAAGCTGAGCAGTGTGCCCGAGTCCACTCACGGGAGAGTTCCTGCTAGGCTGTCCGCCACTCACTTCTAGATCTATGCCCGTTTAAATCCAAGTTCTTAAAATTTTGATCCAGTAAGCAGGCTCAGCAGCTAAGAGTGCTTTTGAGTAAGCCTGACGACCCAAGTTTGATTGCTAGGAACCGTGTAAGAGTCTGACACAGGAGCAGTGTGCATCTGTAAACCTAGCACACCTACAGTGAGACGGAAGTGGGAGGGAAATCACCCAGAGCTATGGGGAGCTAACCTAGAATCTGAAGAGAGACCGCCTCAAAATTGAGGTGAAGTCTAAAGTTGTCCTGACCTCCAAACATGATCTGAGATGCATGCATGCACAAAATAATAAATACAATTAAAAAATTTTAACTATAGACTTGAAAAGCAATTCATTAAAGAACCTGTATTTTTGTCAGTACAAAACAAGAAACACAAAAAGAAGGCTAAGCTTCTGATTGCCTTTAAGGACCAACTTGTAAAAAAACAAAGTGCTATTCATTTTGCATCTGATAATTCAATTGAGTAAAATTATGAGAATGTTCTAAATACTGAGTGTCCATCCATCCCTTACACAAGTATGTACAGATAACTACTATAGCAGTAATGTGCTAGGAACCCAGGACAGAAATGAGCCAGAGAAACACAGTTCTTGTTCCTGTGGAACACACAAATTGGGAGGATGGTCACTACATGGGAAATACAGCTCCATGAAACTAAAGTGGAAAGAAGGGATAGAAGAGAGGAGATGCAATGGAGGCTAGCTCAACCAGGAAAGTGTCCTTCCCAGGAGCTGGAGAGGGAAGCTCTAGGTAGAAGGACAGGCATAAACCAAACACCAAAGAGATGAGAACCTGAAGGAAGGTCAGGGTGGTTCAAGTCAGCACAGGATAAGAAAGACATCCCAAAGCCTGGGTTGGAGCAGTAGGCAGGGGTGGCAACCTGCAAACTGCATGGCATACTGAAGCTGTGGGCTATGTCTGAGAGCAGGGAGGAGTTGACTACAGCAAAAAGAAGTAGAAATAGTTTATACGCCCATGAACCTGGCCGAGGGTGGATCTCAGCACTTACAGGAGGTGCACTACAGTCTGAAATCTTTTCTGCACTCATGGCGGCGTGTGAGGGTGAGCATGATTAGGGTATCAGAGCTGGGAAGACACAGACATTCATGGGGTAAATGGGCAGGGGGATGGGAGATGAGTGAAGAGGTTTGACCTTGGATAGTGCTCAGGCTTAGATGGTATAGATTACGCTTTGGATGGTAAAGAGTTTCACACTGTGAATTTAAATATATCATTTCATTAACAGGAATGAGAATTCCCAAACTTGCTGCTTCTGAAGCATCAGCATTCACTCATGTGTGCCTGGCTCCCCACCATCACTCACCTGGTTACCGACCAACAGCAAGTGTTCTCCGAGGACGAAGTCTTTGAGCATGTCTTCCATCACTATCATGTGCTAGGGAAAAAGGATACAATCAGGGTCAAATAAGAAAGGTGTCTATACAGGTGTTATCTTAGAAGGTAAAACACATGTTCTGATAAAATAAGCAACTGACTTGAATTACAACACATTTTTGTTATTGTTTTGTTGAGACAGGTTCTCTCTAGATAGCCCTGGCTGTCCGCAACACTCTATGTGGACCAGACTGGGGGCAAACTCAAGAGATCCACTTGCCTCTGCCTACCTAGTGTTGGGATTAAAGTGTGTGCTACCAAACCTGGCTGTTATTAAAAATATATTTAATGATGTGGATAAAAGTCAATTAGGTCACCAATATTGAAAACTTCAAATAGCCCATCTGAACAAGAACAGACTACTGACAAATATTTCAAGTAATTTTTATAATTCAATTCAAATATTTTTATTTATGTTCTGCAGAATTGGCTTGTAATTTAATGTAATATTTAAATCGATGCTTGCTAATGTAAGTAAACAAATGCTACCAAAAGCAACCAAATACCTCCATCTTGGACTTTTTTTAAATGTATATTTACATATATACACATATATATTTATATATATTTTTATATAAGAAAATGGAAAATATATAACAAGTATATATAGTATAGAAACTATATGTGACTAAGTATATATTAAGATAAAACAAAAACTAGCACATCTTAATTGCACATATCAAACAGGAGGAAAAGGGCCCAAGAGAAGGCATAAGAAACAGAGACACACTCTTTCACACACTTGGGTTAACCATTTACCTTCAAAGCAATGTAAGGTCTTAGAATTAAAAAGGCACTTTTCACCTTCCATTATTTTTCATTTGAATTATGACACAATGTGATGAAAGGGCAAAGGTAGAGTTGCTAACAGCAGCCACAGAGGAGACGGCATTGCTCTTTTGTGTGCCAAGAAGTAGGGCATGGGTAAGTAGGTCACAAAGGCTCATGGGGCTGCGGAAGAGCTGCATCCCAGCAGAGTCTGAACCCTGAGTCTCTCCTCTTGATTTCTGGACCAAATCAACAACAGCCCAAAGTGCTCAGGTTACTCAAACTCTATATTTTGGGAAAAAAATTAACCTTTTATGACATATACATGCTATACATATTTCCTAGAATTTTACTGGCTTGCTTTTCTTGATTTTTTTTTTTTACACTCAAAACTTGTCAAATTCTGTAATGAAATAAAAACAAAGGAAGTTATTTTTCCCTCTTTCAAGAATAATGAATGAGTATATTGGTAGTTCTAGTTTTTTTAAATTGGATACACCAAGGAACAAAAAACTTAAAAGGGTTTAAAGTAAAAGTATATTCATTTATTGTTTTTCTGTCACATTGAAAAATAAAAAGAAACACTAGGTTAACATATAAATAAAGAGTATGCTAAAAGTAAAAAGGTGTGACTGCCCTCAAGGAGGACCTGGGCATCACTCACACCGGGTCTTGCTGCTAACATGGTCTGGAGACTGCTTCTTGACAGCTAAGTGAAAATTCAGTGGTAATTTCAAGACACTGGTCCTTCCTGAAGCAAAGGAGAGAACATCCCCAGAAGCACATGCATGGCCAGGTGACACTGAAAAGCCATCACGGTTCTATCTCTTCTGAGTTTTCTTACTGCTCTCACTTCTGCTACAGACCGGCACCATATTTGCCTACTGACTGAAGCCGTCAGCTAAGGCTAAGATCACTGCTAATACAAACAAGGGTCTTGCTCTTTGCAGTTCCACAGACCACAGGCAGGTTCTCCCTTCTACCCTCTTGCCACAGCTCTGTCTTTTGTTCTTTCTCACCCACCGTCTTCCTGGCTGCTTCCTTTTGGATGCCCAGGATATAACAAAGTGGGTTAGTGCCTATGTGGACACAGGACCTGCCTGAGGGCCAGGTAAGGCACGGAAGCAGAGTTGCAGGCTGGCACTCATAGAGCTCAGCGCCTCTCCCTTTCAGGGACATCTTCCTAACTAAAGACAGTTTTTTTTGTTTGTTTTTTGGTTTTGGGGTGTGTGTGTGTGTGTGTGTGTGTGTGTGTGTGTGTGTGTGACCTTTCCTTACCCAATTTTTCACGGCTGGGGAGACAGCTCAGCAGGTACAGGCTCTGCCCTACAAGCCCTACAAGCCTGAGGACTCAGTCCCAGGACCCACATGAAAGGAGATAACCGACTCCAAGTTACCGTCTTTGTTTTTTATGTGAATGGCACACATATGATTTATGCTCATAACTTAAAGCAGGTAGTCTGCAGGCTTTCTCTGTGATGACTGTTATTCCCCAGGTTCCTAAACTCAACTCATCCAAAACTTGACGCCTTGCTTCCTCTTCTTCAGCCTTCTTATTCCTCCTTTACCTCCCCACCCCATTAATAAGGATCCTTCTCTTCCTCAAACTGTGATATCACCATGGTCATCCTGCCATCTTGCTCCTCTCTTAATGGAAATTTCATTAAAGCCAAGTCTTAGTGATTAAGACACACACACACACACACACACACACACACACACACACACACACACAGAGAGAGAGAGAGAGAAGGGGGGGGAGAGAGAGAGAGAGAGAGAGAGAGAGAGAGAGAGATCTTTCTTTTTGGCACAGTTGGATTCAGGGCATATATCATTTCTGACCTAGATTTTGACTGGCCAATTTAGCTTCGGAAACTTTCATTTCTCTGGGGCAAATGTGTCTCCACAGTACAGCAGGGCTGTTTCTTTGCTCACAGTCTTGCCACTCATTTTTCAAAGCTCCTTAGATGAGTCTTAATGCTTCGGGATCATGCTCCCATGCAGGCCCGGCCTCCACTCTTATCCCCCCCACCCCAAACCTACTCCTTCCAGTGCGGGCACAGTCAGGGGTGGTTTTCTGTTCTCTCTTTCTACCAGGTGATGTGTTCCCTGAGAGAGTATGAAACAAAGTCCCCTAAGGAGTCCTGTAAGGTGTCCCTGCCCTCTGTCCCCACCACCACTGCCTTATTTCATCCTTAACTGTGGCCTGGACTGTTTCAATAGCCGCTGCCCTGCCATCTTTGTCTGACTTCTAATTCTTGGACAACACGAGAGAGTGAAGACAAAGGTAGTGAGAGTGCAAACGTGCTGAAAACCTGTCACTGAGTTCCTTGGCGAGGATCCTAATTCTGCCTCTAGTGAAGCCTGGACATTGCCACTCCTCAGGCCCCAGCCTCATCACTTGACACTTTTCAGCTGGAAACCAAGGGTCTGTGTATTGAGATCAAGGGCATCTGGCTTCCTAAGAGACCATCCCTCTCATTTAACCAAGGTTCTGCAAATGCCCACTTCAGCCTGAGTAACTTACCCAACTTTGCCTAGTTAACCAATTTTCTGAGACCTTTCCAGTCAGTGACCATCAGCTCATTGATGTTACCATAGTAACCTGCATGTCCCTCCATTTGCACCATGTAGTCACATAACTATATGTACTTACTAGCCTATTTTCCATTAGACAAAAAGTAACTGAGTCGTGGAGATGCATCTGCTCGTATGTATACCTTTTCATCTCTGTACCCCAATACCTTAGGGACAAGCCTGACTTGTGGTGTTTAATTTTTCAGGTCTAAAGCTCCTTGGGCTTATTAAAAAGCTATTAATCTGTTATTCTCCAGTTTCTCTTACTTACTGCTCCAAGGGGCATATTCCATAATAAAGGATTTAATGAAACAATACTTCTTAGGATGGATGCTCAAAATCTTATCCATTCCTTTTAATTCCCTCAACACTTATTTACAATGTTCTCTAAACTTCAGTGGAGACAGCAGGTAAAAGACCAGGGGAAAACATCTTAAAGACCATTTTCAATGCACCATGGCAAGGGGACAACAGGATATCACAGAAAAGATGGATTGCATAGATAGACCCACATCTGTGACACTGAAGATTCCTGCTTTTAAGATGACATGGAGCATAAGTCAAGCAGTAATACCTCCTACAGAAGCAAACTGCATCAAGTCACATGCCCAGAACTGCAGCAACTAAAATCCTTATTAATGGCTGATTCATTATGCTTTGGGGGGGGGAGAGTAGGAATGGTTACACAAAGCCCCTCAGGGCATCTGTGGAAAGTTCATTGCAGATCTGAAGTTGTCAATGTCTGCGTAACCAATACCATGGCAATTGACAATGTTCAAGGACACAATAGTCTTTTTTCCTACTGAACTTCCTATGTTCTAATATGCTGTGAAGTCTTTATCACTTTAACTATTTTGGAGTTTTTCCATTGTTATGTATAGCAATTTTACAGTTTTTCCCCCCTTTTCTCATTTCTGCTATGTGAGCAGAACGTGAAATGTGGACACAGACAGCACTTAGAAATACTATTGAACCTTTCTTTTTTAATTTAAATATATGTGCATTGGTGTGGAGGTGTCAGATCTCCTAGTACTGGAGCTACAGACAGTTGTGAGCTGCCATGTGAGTGCTGGGAATTGAACCTAGGTCCTCAAGAAGAGCAGACAGTGCTCTCAGTCACTGAGCCATCTCTTCAGCCTACCATTGTTCCTTTTAATATAAAGATTTTTATTTGTATATCATAGATAAGAGTGTTTTCCTTCTATCTATATAACTTGATGTTTGCTCCTTGGTATATCAGTTATGCAATGGTCCTAAAGAGAAAGCAAGCATCCATCAGTTAACTGACTATTGAATGAAACAAAACAAAAGCAGCGGTAAGCTTTTTGCTATGTAAAAAATAATTAGAGCCTTGACATGTAAGTGTTTAAGTCAAAATATTTTTATTAAGAAAGAAAAACTTGCCTGGATACCTTTATACTATTTATTTCAGTTAAGGGACATAAATTATGATACTCATAGAACAATAAATAAAATTAGCGAAAGACACTGTACTATAATTTTGCTAACTCCTTAGAAAGATAAAGCAAATTCTAACATAATTTGTAAATGTAATTATTTACATGCAGATAAGCAAATAAGAACTACAAAAAATAAGTATACAAAAGAAATATATAACTGAAAGAAACATTTTCAGAAATGTTTACTAAAAACAAATCTTAAAGAAATGACTCTCACTGTAATAAAGCTTTCAAGTTCAAACTTATTTCTGTGTTTTGGGAAACAGTGCACAATGCCGGTTAGGTTGTGAGGGCAGTGTCCCTGTCACAGTCCATCCTCCAAAGAAAGAGAAGAGCAGAGAGCAGAGCCAGCCCAGGAGAATGCAGCAAAGGGGAAGGAAGAAGAGGAAAGCACGTGGGACGCTACAGAAATGACTCAACTAGAAGCCAGAGTGACAGCCAGTAGGTCTGCCTGTTTAATTCAGTAAGATATCTTACTGGCCTCAAGCACAGTCATGAAACGTGTGTGCACATAACATGAACATACTTAAATCCATAGCAGTAACTCCTCTAATTCTAACCATTGGGGAGAATTTTAAACCTCATTATCACTGTAATTAAAAGTAGCTCAGCCCTTCATTTTGCCTCTCCTGAACTGAATTTAGGACATCATGAGTACAATTAAACACCAGTGTCACTTGGATCAGAGTTGACTACTGTGACGTGATTAGCCCAAGACCACGAAGCAATGCCCTCACCTGAACGTTGTCATAGAAGAGAACATCAGGCACTTTCATCTTCTCCTGGGCATTGTACACTGGTGCACTGACAGCGCCAATCCTCAGAGACCCGGATACTATCTCACCTGAACATTTTGTACAGGACAGAGGATTAGTCACAGCAATGTGTTGCAAATATCCAGAGTAGCCTAGTCTGGCCAGCACACACTGCCAGGCAGCTTCTGTAACTGAGGTCCTTCAGGATTTAAATTATGCATCTAAAGAATAAACTAAAACACCATAGCTCTCCAATTTATCTTGTAGACCCAACCGAAGTTCACAATGGAACAGAGCAAGAATGTGGCAGCGAACCAACTTAAACACTTATTTGCTGAGATAAAACACACAACAGCAGATTCAACAACACCAGTTAGGGTTCAGTTCACAGAACATGGCCATTCAGTAGACAGGGGCCTTGGGGATCATTTTGTTCACATAACCAATGTTTAGTGATAACATTTCAACTACAAAGGGGACACACTGGGAGAAAGCGAGCTAGCTGCTTTTTAACAAGTCTCAGGGCGCTACTGTTAGAGGAAGTCTGCCAAGGCTATTAATCTTGTAGGCTCAAAGTCTGGTTTTGCCATCACAACTGAGGGCAAATATAGTTTCAGAAAAACATAAACATGTATTCTGATAAAGAGCTAGAAATTGGAAAATATAGCATTGCTGTAAGAAGCAGTTTTCATATGACCATGACACGCTGACTGCCATCATCATGTTACCTGGAAAGAGACCTGCATGGAGAGCTAAGCCCTTGTGAGAAGGTTGCTCACTGATCTTGGGCTCATGACAAGGAGAGGGACTTAAACACATTCACCACAAGATCAGTAGCTTTCAAGATGAATGAAAACAGTGAACAATCTCCTCCTTTAGGTCCCTTATCCCCTACAGGAAGCTGTGACGGACACTGCTGGAACTGACCTTTCCCAGACAGAGCAATTTACCATCCTGATGTCACAGCCTTCCTCTGGGTATATTTATTACCAGCTCCAATCAAGCAACATTAAGATTCTACATGTCCCATATTTATTCTGTCTCTTTGGGTGGCCTCTGCACATCTGTTCAGCTCCATCAGTATCAAATTTATAATTTTATTCTAAAAAATTCATTCAATTTCCTTAATACTAAATTCTTGGTTCAGTGTAGCCAGAGTTACACCACCAATCACAACCACAGTCATTATGGTCCTGTTGGAGAACAGTCACACTTGTGCTGTGATAAGACAAGTACCTTAGGAATGGAAATTTCCCCTGTGCTTGCTCTCACTGCAGAACAGGAACTTTGAGAGTGCACAGTCTTCCCCACCTCAGGCCTCTCCTTCTGTCTGTGCAGAAGAGAGGTGGAGGTGGCATTCGGGTGACTGGAGGGGATACAAGGGGAGGCAAACAGCCGGCTCTCATTAGTCAGTCTCCCTAGAAAATGTTCCCTGACATGTCCCATGGGAATCTTGGTAGCCCTCAAAATACAAATGTTGCACAAAGAAAACAGAATTCTAAACTGTATGGTGAAACACATTTGGAAAAAATGTATTTGTCAAAAATTAGACAAGTTGATTTACAACAAAAACCCTCAAAACCTCTAGTACTTAGTGTCCAACTGACTCTTGGCAGGGAGGGGGGCCAGTATTCAACTGAAAGGAGTGATATCAAAAGCTAAGTTGTAAAATGGCTTTTAGACTGCTTTTAAAGGAAAGCAGTAGACTCACAAAAGAAAATGGTTTTATTCAACCAGTTGACCAATCAACACAGGGCAAGTCCTCCAAGCCTGGAGGCGCACCAATCCTGAGCCTGGGTGTACCCCTAGACACTCCCCTTACGCTGTCTAAAAGATCTCTGTCCCATGGCTTCTTGGGTCTTTTCCCAGCCATCTGCCATGGTGGATGGATGAAAGTCCCGAGCTAATGGGGTTAGCTAGTTAAACAACAGCAATAAAGCCTCTTGCGGTTTGCATAAAAAAGAGGGTGGGGTTATTGAAACTGATAGCATAAAATGTTTGATCATTGTTATGTCACCCAGAAAATAGCCAAGTCAAGTACTTACACTTGTAGCTCTCCAGTTCTGGCTCCAGGCTATCATTAGTATTTATTTCTATTGCAGCATCTGCCAGATTCTTCTCCAGCGCTGACCTTGCCAGGCTTGGTAAGAACCTAGGAAGAGAGATGGAGTCTGGTGGTTAACCAGGTGCTTTCTCTGTTTTTTTAAGTATCTGTTAACACACACCCTTTACTAATAACAACCAACTGAGGAGAAACTGTGTCTGTGAAATATAAAGCATATGACATTTTAGCATAAATATAAATTGAAGGTATGTGGAAAGCCCATGTTTGTGTAACCTTTAATAACTAAGCTTATTTGTAATTAGCAATATTCCATTAATGTACATTTTGCAGATTGTGATGAAATCATCTGTTTTCATAAGTGGATTTTGTGTACCTCATATTTCTTGTTTATAGTATAACTGGTTCATCTAATTTTTCTTAACTAAAACGGCAATATTTTAGCCTACTCCAAGTTGGCAATCACAAATTTAAATCAGAAATAGAGTACGGAGGTTTTCCTTATTTTCCAACACAAATTCCCCCCAAATGAAAGATTATTTGTTTTTTTGTTTCCTTCCTGCACCTTATAAATATATTGTCAACATAACAAACAATCTGATGAGTGACAGAGACAGTCTTTAACTACAAAGACCCCAATAAGCACCATGGCTTGGAACAGTTTCCTTCTATACAATGTTATGTTTAGAACTTTTGACCGATTACAGGAATCCCACTGGAAGGATCTTCAGTCAGTGACTGTGCTCTGCTAGTGTAAAGTCACAGCTGTGTGCTCCAATGTCCCCAGTAAGCCAGATCAGAATGCACCATCTGAATTCAGGTCCACATAGTGTTAAGCTTTGTGGATGGATGCCCTCATCACACACCCACACACCAGCCCAGGCTTGAGAACAAGCCTCTAATAGTAGAAGGCTGGCATGAGCCAGAGGCATGTGAACCAAGAGTGTTGGACACTGGGGTATTATTCCCTCACCATATGATTCTGAGCCACAGATATGACACTGTATTACCGGCTGCCTTCTCTGGGTCCTGTAAGATCACAGGGAACTTTATATACCTCTAAGCGTATGTCTAAACAGTTTAACACACCATCACAGTTCTTGCATCACTGCGTTGTTGTTCAGAACCAAGCCCCCCATCATGTCCCCCAAACCTCACTGGGTTTGCATCCTGTTTCTTGAGCCTTTGTTCTGGCATCATTCCCAACCTTCCCGGCACAGTTGTTCCAGAGTCTGTGACTGTTAGGCCCTTTGTGGGCATTTCTACCACTACCTGTTAGATCACCTGCATTGCTATGGACCACTCACAAGTTTGACTTGTCTACTGTTCTTGGCACCCTTGACCTCCACATAGTCTACCCAGACATCTCAGCTTGGCCATATATTGGAACACTCTGGCCTTCGGTCTAAAGCCTAGAGGAGAGAGGATATGGGAAGAGATATCAACATTAGGTCTGAAAGACCAAATGAGGAGGTAAACTACAGCAATCCCAGCAAAGGGAAGGAAGGCCACGGAGGAAAGGTACAATTAGGACTCATCAGAGCTTCAGAGGGAACACTCCTTAGTGGCACAAAGGATATCAAGGAGTCTTACTCAGAATGTATAATGAATTAATTTGTACTTGTGATTAGAATTCTTAGATTTATAAGCAGTATTAGATGACTTAAGATAGTATGGTCTATCTGATAAGTGTAGCTTATAATATGTCATTATTTGTTATATGTAAAATTTATAAATATGGTTTCAAAGCTTGAAAATATTTAGTTTGGGCTGTTCTACAAATGGGATTGGGTATTTTTTCCAAATGAAGTTAAATGCAAATATTACTATCTAGTAGACTTACAATTAACTGAACTGAGAGAAAAGCCTAAAGAAGTTTAGTTATTTTTAACCATATTCTTAAAAAAATGGAATCAGTTTTTAATCCAAGCAGTCTCTAGACAGTCTCAACAAGAAAATCGTTCCTGGAGACAATAAAAAAATTCGAGTTGATATTTGCTAAACACTGGGTATGATTACTCATCAGATTTATGGCTTTTAGAATTTATTATGTAATAGTTTACAAAGTGGAAACCTTACACACATACTATTAATTTTACATCATTTGGAATTTTTAAAAACGTGTGTGTAACTCATTTTTTTAGTGATAGAAATGATTTCTTCATGACGTCACTCAGCTAAGCTTTACTTCTGAATGGATTATTATAGCTCTGTCCAATATTTTCCCACTACAGAATCAATGCCTCCAAGATATTTCAGAAGTGTATAAGTCAGTGTAATGTAAAATAACAGAACAGACTAGAACTCTTCCTATAGGGGGGCCTGAATTCAGTCCTTCTATAGAAGAGGCCCTGTTAGAATTCAAACTGACCATGTCTTGAGCTTCTAAGCCTTTGCTACATCCCTTGCGTTTTCAAGTATCTAGAAACTGGGTGATGCACCCCCTGGAGTTATATGGAGAGCAAAGGGTGAAGGACTACTCGGGATTTCAGAAGACGAGGGTGAATGGAAGACAGCCCAGTGCGAGGCACTATGGCAGCCGCTCCTGATTTCATCTACTTAATGAAAAGCTTCCCTGGTATTTTATGAAACTCTTTTCATTTTTGTCTTAAATTCTTAATGAAATTCAGTTCCTTTTCATTGCCTCAATATGAAAAGAGGTTATTAAAAAGAAAAAAAAATGAGCTCATGAACCAATAGTCTTTTTGGTTCTTTCCTGTCTCTGTGTTACTCTAAGGCTGGCAGGAAGTTGGCCGGCTGTAGCAGTGGTAAAGTCAACAGATGATGCATGAGCAAGATGGCTGCTCCAATGTTCACTTCCACTCCCAGAGGATCACAATTATCCCCTTTGAAGAGTGGTTAGAGGTAGGATGGGGGGAGGTGGGAGAAGGGAAGGGGGATGTAAAATGAAAAAACAATTTAATTAAATTAAATTGTTTAATTAAATTGTAAAAAAAGAAAACATTATCTTTACTGTGGTCCTCTGATAACACTGGGAAAATTAGTTAACTCATGCAATGGTCTATTTAAGAAGTAAAGTATTTTAAAACTCTGAAATATGTCCACTTTCCTGAAAACTTCAGAGAATAATTTTTTAAAATTAAGTATAGAATGGTAACTGAGTCTAATTACAAGTTTGACTTCCCTGATGAGTAAAGATGTCAGCATCTTCCCAAGTGTTAACTGGATATTGGAATCACTCATTCCCTGCATATATGCCTATCCAAACCTTTGCCTATCTGGGCTGGATTCTTTCCCTTTCTAATTTGCAGTCTCTGGGTACTAGTCCATCCTTGGTTATCTATTTTGTCAAACATGTTCCGGGTTGGTGGCTTTTAACTTTCACAGTAGCTTATAGTCTTTTGGGCACATATCTAGATTTTCCTTTTTTATAAAACAATGTGAAAAGTGTTAGTCTTAACCCTTTGTTGTCACGCCCATCCACTTCTATGTTTAAAATGATGCTTTTCACACACACTAAGATCCACGAGTCTCCCTGAAGCAACAAGGTTATGAGAAATGCATCCACACAACAGACAGTGTCTTCCCTCACAGATACTTACTTCCCTCACACTTCCCTTGGCTATTTTTGGAACTTTCTATTTCCATGCCAACTTGAGAATCACTTGTCAAGCTCATTATTACCTTGCGGGATTCTGACCATGCAAAATGTAGACTGTTGGGAGTACAATTTCCTAACAGTGAAATCCTCTTCTATGCAGGCATAAGGATGGCTTCACTCTGACAACCGTCAATAGATCAATTCTTTCCTCCACAGGATTGCATGTTTGCTATTTAATTGACCCACAGTTGCAAAAAGACAAGAATGTCATCGATCTAAGCACACAAGAACTTCATTAGACTGTTTATTTTTTAATTAATTAATTAGTTAATTAATTAATTATTTTGGTTGTTTGAGGCAGGGTTTCTCTGTGGCTTTGGAGGCTGTCCTGGAACTAGCTCTTGTAGACCAGGCTGGTCTCGAACTCACAGAGATCCGCCTGCCTCTGCCTCCTGGGATTAAAGGCGTGCGCCACCACTGCCCAGCTTTTAGACTGTTTATTCTAGTAATTTACATGATTTTGTCTTGGATGCTTTTATTATAACCAATCATGTTATCTTGGGTACTGGATAAAAATGTAGAAGATAATACTATATTCATCTTCTACATAATGCTTAAGGAAATACCCAAAGCATTTTACAATGAGAAATGTTTGCTGCAGATTTCAAGTCAGCAGTCTTTTTTTTTTTTTTTTTGCAGATTTTTTTTTTTTTAATTTGAATTAGAAACAAGATTGTTTTACATGACAATCCCAGTTCCCTTCTCCCTCCCCTCCTCCCCTACCACTGTCCCAACTAAAACCCTACCTATCACATATCCTTTCTGCTCCCCAGGGAGGGTGAGGCCTTCCATAGGGGGGGGTCATCAGACTCTATCATACCTTTTGGGATAGGGCCTAGCCCCCCACCACGCTGTGTGTCTTGGCTCAGTGAGTATTCCTCTATGTGGAATGGGCTCCCAAAGTCCACACCTATGCTAGGAATAAGTACTGAACTTCTACAGGAGGTCCCATAGATTTATGAGGTTTACTCACTGGAAACCCATGTTACTGGGGTCTGGATCAGTCCCATGCTGGTATCCCAGCTATCAGTCTGGGGAGCAAGAGATCCCCAATGTTCAGGTCAGCAGTTTCTGTGGGTTTCACCAGCCTGGTCTGGACCCCTTTGCTCATCACTCATTCTTCTCTGCAACTGGATTCCAGTTCAGTGCAGTGATTAGTTGTGGGTATCTGCTTCTACTTCTGCCAGCTGCTGGATGAGGGCTACTGGGTGGCATATAAGCCAGTCATCAATCTCATTATCAGGGGAGGACATTTAAGGTAGCCTCTCCTCTGTTGCTTAGATTGTTACCTGGTGTCATCTTTGTAGATCTCCAGATATTTCCCTAGTGCCTGATTTCTCTGTAAACTTAAATGTCTCCCTCTATTATGCTATCTCCATTCTTGTTATCTTCTACTTTTCCCCTGGCTCAAGAGTCAGCAGTCTTAAGCAAGCTGAAGAACTGTTTTTATCCATGGTTTACTAAGAATATTCCTGGCTTTATTAAGAGTTTGGTTATGGTTGGGCTTCATCAGATCTTTCTTTCTCACTTATATTATAGTAACTTAAAAAATAGGATAGCTAAGATCCTAACAATAGTGGAGAGGGTGCCCAAACTGGCCTGTCCCTGTAATCAGATTGGTGAATACTCCAACTATAATCATAGAGCCTTCACCTAGTAATTGATGGAAGCAGAGGCAGAGATCCACAACCAAGAACCAGGCCGAGCTCCAGGAATCCAGCAGAAGAGAGGGAGGAGGGAATATATGATGGAGAAATCTACAGACCCAGCTGAACCAAGCTGGTGGAAACTCATGAACTCTAGACCTAAAACTGTGAAGAATCCAGAGGACTGAACTAGGCCCACCATATGTGGGAAACAGCTGTGAAGCTTGATCTATCAGAGGGGCTCCTGATAGATCTATCAGTAGGATCACAATACAAACCTGGTACATGAGCTAGCTTGTTGGAATCCATTCCCTATGGTGAGATGCCAAGCTCAGCCTTAATTCATGGGAGAGGGACCTGGCCTTGCCCCAACCTATTATACCAGACTGTTGATTCCTCATGGGAGTCCTTGCTCATGAGGAGGAATGGACCGGGGGTGAGGCAAGGGAGAGCTGGAGGAGGTGTGGGAGGGAGAACTGTGGTGGGAATATGAAATGAAATTAAAAAATAAAGAAACAAAAAATAGGACACCTGATCCTTCTGGAATTTACTGCTGCTGTTCTCAAGCCATCAGTCTAATCCTGTTTCCTTGTAGGCTTTTCCTCTTGAAATGTTTAAAATTGTCCTATGGCTGTATAGTATTGTCACACCATGGGAATTTTTTTTAATTTGTTCCATTTGTAAACTGACACATTTCAACATATAAACTCATATTTTACAGTTCTAGAACATTCTAGCTAAAATTGGCTGGAATAATTCCTGTCTCTTAGCAAGCACCGGGTGTTGGGCTCAATCCCCAGCAAAACCCACACAAGTCCCATTAGGCAGATTTTACCCTGTCTCATGGTATCTTTTGTTTACTAACAGCCTTTCATATTTTGCATCTCTTCAACTTGTGTTAGCTTTCTTCTACCTCAATGCTTCTACAACTCTGTCTTTACTGCTTATCAGCCCACTAGGTTTCTTTTATTTTTCTATCTCAACTTTTTTGTTCATTTTTTCTTTCAAATTCACCAATGCTTGGTATGCTTTATGCTAGCTTTCAGCTTTCCTACACCTTCTGAAGTATATCCATTGGGTAATTTCAAATGTTCTGCTGTGAGTTCCCGGAGTTCTAGTTCTGAATGTCCTATCTCTTTAATATTCTTTATTTCTCAAGAATAGTTTAACCTAAAAAAAATTACTATGTCTAAGTGTTTTGCCTGTTTATTATATCTGTGCACCATGTGTTTGACTCATGTCCATAGAGGCCACAAGAGGGTGTTGGATCGTTGGAACTAGACTTATAGATGGTGGTGAGCCACTATGTGGGTCCTGGGATTGAACCCAGGTCCTTTGCAAGAGCAACCATTGCTCTTAATTGCTGAGTCATCTCTTCAGCCCCTAGTTTAATCATATATTGTGACCTTGTATTCAGATGGACTGTTTAATACCTTAGGTAATAAAAGTTGATACATTCCAGGGTTTAGGGCTGCTAGTCTATAAAAGTCTATAGGTAGTTCAAAACTCTGAGTTAACTTAAAATAGCACCTTGTGTTCACCACCCTAGCACACAGTGTCACCATAGACCCTCATACTTGCTCTAGGCAACACAGGGCACTGAATTTCCTACAGAAGACTCTTTTCCAACCAAGGTTCCAGAGAGATGGCAAACTTTCTCATCATTTCTCTGGTCACATGCGCAAAACCACTTTATACAAAAGGGGCAGCAAACACGTCTGCTTTGCTCTCTATGCAAGGGTATAGCAAAAGGTGAATGGGATTACCTGGAAAGGCAGGCTTTAGTAATGGCATCATGAAGATTTTCATTGGGATACTGTGACAGCCGGCGAGCGATCCGTAGCAGTTGACGGGTAGAAAGCGATGCTGCCAAGGATTGTGCCTATGAAAGGCAAAGACAGTTTGCTAAGAGTCTCACTTCAGCTTGTTGCTGTCCCTGTAGATGGATGTCACAGCACAATTCCCTATCCCTGAGGGACCAGGACAAGCTTAAGTATGTGCAACAAATGACTTAAGAACAAAAATGAATAGAATCCGTTTTACACTTAAAATAGCCTTCAGGATAGTTTTACTAATCTACAGAAAGCATTTATCAATTACTTTCAATTGCAGTCTTTCAATGGGGTGGCAGGTAGGGGAGGAAGGCTGTTCTAAATGCAGGTCACACCTGCCTCACAAATAACCCTTACGTACAATCGCCTATTCTCGCTTTTCTTCTTCACACAGCTGACTTGTTAAGATATTCTGAAAATTCTTAGAGCTCTAAGCAAATCTGTGGTTTCTGAAACAGAAAAAAGGAATTGTGGACAGTTTAGATTGCTGGCCACAAAGATGTCAACTAGTTTACCATCTCAGTGGCAGATTGCTGATGGAACCCCTTTCTTAATACTGATGGAATTATTTCGTTTTGTTTTCCTATACTTGCCCCAAATTTCACTGCTACAGTTGCTAATAAAGAGCCAAGGCCCTGGGAAGCGTTCCATGCCTATCTGCTGACTTGAGTTTGAAATTCTCTTGGCAGGCAACATTACTGCTCATTGGCTTTCAACTTAGACAAATCAGATTATCATTAGCCATGTGATGTTGACTAAACACTGTTTCTCAAGTCTGTTTCCTTATCTTTAAGATGACACTAACAGCATCCTCCTCCCCTGTGAAACCGATACAAGGATAAATTCTAAATTGATTCTATAGCAATTAGGGCAGGTCAGAAAACCAGGGCTGCCCCCCAAATGACTGACAGAGATGACGGGAGAGGGGGTGCTCCACAAATGGTAGAGATAAGGGTGCTCAAGAAATGACAGATGAGCTAGACAGCCTCCTCACAGTGAAAGCAGCCAGACACACTCACAAAGAGGCAGTAACACAATTTTAGTGAATTAGATTATTAGTAATTAGATTACTGGTAGTAATCTAATAATAATAAGATTATTACTGACTTAGTTCACAACTCAGATCAACAGCATGGTTTAACTAAGCCAGAGGAATGAAGCCCTTTTGAAACTATTTGACCTTTGAGGGCCCCACTACAGGGCCAGATTACTGTCACAAAGGGTGATGAGGGCAATAAAGTGACCCCGAGCACCTTAGGGGCAAAAGAGGAAGCACTGGAGTTCAAGTGGACAAGGGAAAATGTTGAAGACATGCTTGCATGAGGTGACCTCTGAGACCCCCAAAGGAGTTTCAATGATCCCATCCTCAAGCATTTCACAGCTCGGTGACATGTGTGTCTGCTGCCACTAGTGCCATGCTTCAGTGACAATATGACTTACACATCTGGTCTTGGGACCAGGTCAGGAATATATGACCAACATCTACCACATCAATGAGTTAAACAAGTTTCAACAAACTCATTTACACACAAACATTTGGTGAATCCTTGTTTTCAATCAATGCGCATTCTAGACATAGAGAATATTTAAATATAAAGAACCATACATTCAGTTAAAAATAACATGCCAAAATAAGTAGAAAAAAAAACATTGACAAATGATACCAGGGCTTAGACACCAGGGCTTAAAGTAGTAATGTGAGCAAGAGAAATGCTACAGATAGGAGCATGAAAGTCAAAGGAATGTGAACCCATATTGAACATGAGGTGTCAGTCTGACTCTACCATGCCACCTTTCAGAAGGCCTGCTCGCAAATGCCCCTGGATCATGAACTACTCTTTGAATAACTCAGGCCTCATTTCTAAAAGCAGCAGCAGTGTTCTGTGCAAAGTAGTGGTGTGAGCTTAAAACCAGAACATCACCTCACTCAGGTCTAACTTACTTGGCCATAGTATGGGAAAGAAGGACAGAGACAATCGACACCACAAACAGATGCTACTTCATCAGGTTCCCTCAAAAAGATAAAGTCCTACAGTAAGGTTATGACACCAAGATGGAAAAGAAAGGTAGCAGCTAATGGCCCCAATTACTAAGTGGCAAATGAGGAAGAAGGCAGGACTGTGGATAAGTATTTACTGCTATGCCTGAGAGCAGAGGATTCAGGAATTCCCATCCGTAATCTCAGACTATGAAAAGTTCCTATTTTAACCACACAATGTCTGACAAACGAACCCCAACATGACTCTTCCAACGTCCATAATAAGCTAAGGTAACTTCCTAGGGTATAACATCCCAGTCTTTGTGGGCTTCCCGCCTCATCTCAACCAACCCTGAAGTCTTCTCACAGGCTCGAAGAAGAGTAATTCCCTCACTAGACAGCACTGAATTCTTTACAACACCTACTGTTTAAAACACCAGAACTAAGTTTTATGTTGAGCCATGTTGGTGTTGAATAACGGATGTGGCAACTCCTGCCCTCAGATTTTCAATTAAAAATTCAGCATATACTTTAATTCTAAAAGTCCCAGTGGATTTAACATTGTACTATCAAATTTCTAACTGCAACTTTATCTGGCAGAAAGGAGAGTGAGCCTGTGAAGTACATTCCCTTGGTTACCATGGTTATGCAAATTAACAACATGCTCACAGCGGTTTTTCATATTAGCACAATTATTAGTACCTCAACTGCTTAAAAAATACAAAAGATATCATGAGAAATAGCAAAAATAATGTTTCCTTCCTTCCTCTCAAAGAATTATTTCTTTTAATAAAAAATGTAACACTGCCTGGGGAGAAGTGCCTAGAGGTGATCTCTTAATATATTAGTAAGTAATTAATTTTCCATTCATTCCTCAAAGATTTAAGCATCTATTATCTGTAGGTTCCAGGTTAGGAAGTCAGAGAAGACTGAACAAGTCTCAGACTCACAGAGTTCAAGTTCTAATTGAAGAGCTAAAAATAAGCTGCAAGGCATCTGTGATGGGTCAGCATCTTGGGTATTTGCGAGTGTCATGAAAGCAGACAAGTAACTTCTGCTTAGGGGACTGAGGTAGCCACCTAGCAGAAGAGGGGCTCAGAGAACCAAGTTAATGGAGAGCAAACACATTCCAGGCATTTCTAGAACAGACACATTTTAATGTGTGCTGGAGTTAAAATAGCACCAAGCTAAGTGTGGGCAGAGCTGAGGGGCTTCGGGAAAGCTGAGGAAATGAGGCTGGCAGAGCAGCCGAGTGACACAACCAGCAGCCCACCTGTCATGCTGTCCTCAATCCATAGACAACAGCAATGGAGCCCTTCACCCGTGTGAAGAATGGGAAGAACTCTTGGAAACACTGAGAAAGATCACTACAAGGACAATATGGAAGACTCAGTGAGATATGAGGGAGGGGGAGGGGGATGAAGAGGAGGAGAAATAATGGCGACCATGACATGAAGTTGGGATGGGGGAACTGGAGGGAGAGAAAGATTTGGAGGGGGCATCTGGGTGGAGTGGGGAAGATATAATCTAAATACATTTTATTTGTATAAGAAATTACTAAAGAATTTAAAACTTAGCAACAGCAGAGAAAATAACAAAGCTGAAAAGAGTAATGGGGAAAGATGAGATGAGGTCCCAGAGGTAATTAGCAGGAGAACTATGGCAACTGGAAAATCATCCATGTCTAAAACACATGCAGGCACGCACTAGTTGCTGGAGCTTACAAATGTTACTGTCTATGGCAATAGCTGTCTTTGCAGATGAGACTAAGAATTTGTAAAAGAAGGACATTGTCTTGGATTAATTTGGTGACTCCTAAATGCAATCTTATGCATCTTTGTAAGAGGGGACAGAAGAAAATTCAATACAAAGACACCAGGAATAATGGGACTACAGAGGAAGGGTTATGATGGGGCCAAAAGCCAAGCAATGCAGGTAGCAATTACAAAGTCAGAAGGAACTCAGAGTAGGGTCTCCCTGGAGCCTCCTAGGAGTTCAACTTTGCTAACGTTTCCATTTTGGCTCAGTGATACTGACTTCAAAATTTTATTGTTAAGACTAACCATTGCCAGGATTTGTTAAAGTAATAAGGGTAACTTGTTAAGCTTCTGCAGAAAACTAACTGAAAGCCATGCAATGAGAGAGTTGCTGGTGAAGGGTTAATAGAGTGAAAGTAATATTGCAGGACAAAGATTTGGAAATCTGATACAAGGACAACAGCAGTCAACCACATGATGCCACACTGGAGAGACCTGCTTTCAGAGTATGTGACAATATCAGGAAAGCACAGATCATTAATGATGTCAAGGCTTCGCTTTAGGCAGTTCAGCAGATTACTATCAGCCAGCAATGAAATCAGGGACAGGCAGTTTAAACATAGTTATTTAAGAGATAGATACACATGTTGAGTTTATAATGATCCCATAGTATCCAGTTCAGCAGTCAAAGCTAGTATTTACTAAGCAGCTACTAACTGGATATTTTTAAACATATGCTTTTATGTTAATCACTGCACCCTTCTCATGAGGAAGAGGTAATTGATCACATTTTACAGATTAAAAAAAAGACAGAATTGCTGTGCTTGGGTGAACAAAATGGCTTAGTGGATAAAGGGGCCTGTCACCAAGTCTGAAGGCTATCCCTGAAAGCCACATGGTAGGAGGAGAGAAATGGACTCCTACAAATTGTCCTCTGTCCCCCACACACACACACACACACACACACACACACACACACACACACTTTTTATAGAGAGTGACTGACTTTCTCCTGAAATGGAAATACAAAAAGTTCATTAGCAAAGATAGAATAAAAGCTGAAGCTGAAGCTGAAAGCATAGGCAATAGTTTAAAGTCAGAACTTAAAGAATAGAAACTGCTCCTCAGTAGATAAGATGGAGGGACAGAGCAGAGCTACAGGACGTCCAGGATTCCTCCAAAGCTAAGTCATGCTCTATGGCTGAGGTAGGAAGAACAACCATGCTCCAGGCACTGACATCAGGGTTATGCTACCCACAAGGCAAAGCACAGCACATGGGATAGAAACAGCCGCTAAAATCACAGCAGGTGAGCAACAGAAAATGTGCAGGCAGAGCCCAGACTTACTGTTGGATCCTGGGTCTCCCTGAGTTTGTGTGTAACTGACAGCAATTTCTCCAAAGCTTCCTGAGGTACACTGGGGACCTATTTTATGACAGAAGGAAAAACAGGAAGAAATGAGGACAATTCAGCAAGTAATACTGGAAGGGTGTTTTTAGAAAGTCTCCAAGTAATAGGTCTATGCTGAAGTCATGAATGAAGTTGCCACTTCATCTTCTCAGCAAACACCTGAGGCCCAGCATTCTTTTAAACAGCCAGGCAAATAAAACAAAGCCTCTTTTTCTCAGCATACAACCAGACCACAGGCAGGAAACTGGCATCTAGCACATCCCTGAACAGCAGTTCCTGCTTTGTGAGCATCAGTGTTTTTCAGATCTAAGTTACGCATTTCCTTTTCTTCCTTTCTTTCTTTCTTCCTTTCTTCCTTTCTCCTTCCTTCCTTCCTTCCTTTTTTTGGTTTTTCGAGACAGGGTTTCTCTGTGTAGCTTTGGAGCCTATCCTGGCACACGCTCTGTAGCCCAGGCTGCCCTTGATCTCACAGAGATCCACCTGCCTCTGCCTCCCGAGTGCTGGGATTAAAGGCATGCGCCACCAATGCCCAGCCGTTACGCATTTTGTAATGGAAACAAAACTCCCATAGGATAATATTAATTTATACAAGCTATTTAATTACTGGTTTAATTTCACACATATATTATATGAATGCATCTGACTACTATGTGGCCCAAAGGACTCCTGGGTACAAAATGGATGTTCAAGTTGTCTGACTGCCTCAAAGACTTTTGAAACACATACTCATGGGATGTGGTGACTTAGGCCTCTAATTTCAGCACTTGGGAGGCAGATGCAGAAGGATTGCCAAGAGTTCAGGTCCAATATGGTCTACAGAGTGAGAACTTGTCTCAACACAAAACTAAAAATAAAGCACATTTGATGGCATGATCAACTCAATGAACTCAGAAGAACATCTGGACAAATAACACACATCTCTTTTCATCATAATAAACTTTAAGGCAAATAATTTAATAAATGTAAACAATTTTCATTTAAGCAATAATAAGTTAATATTTTAAATTTAACAGAATAAGAGATATTAATGACATGATGTAACATCTTTGAAAGCATACTGGTTCCAAGTTTCTTTAGCCATTTAAGTAACTGGAATTAAAAAAAACTCTAATTCTATTTTATACATACCTTATAATGTTTATTTTAAAAATAAATTCTGTAGTGTAGAAAGTACAATTACTCTCACTTTCAGATGAGGAAACCATGACTAATCTACCTGAGCTCTGGAAGCTAATCCATAGTGAGAATCTGACTAGATCCAGAGTGTTGAACCCTAAAGATCACGCCTTCATTCATAACTGTGAGAATGTGACTAGATCCAGAATGTTGAACCCTAAAGACCAGGGCTTCATTCATAACTGTGCTTATATAGACCCCCAAATCAAACAATAATTCTAGTATTCCTATTGATGGTTACAGTTATGTAAAATGTTAATTAGTAGTGATCAGAATAGCAGTCAAACAGAACTTTCTGATGATCAAAGATGTTTTTTCTGTGCTATCTAACTTGAAGTACATTAAGAAACTGAATTTTAAAATGTTTTATTTAATGTGGCTGGTGCTGCCCTGCTGAAGAATACATTTCCAGAGCTCCCAGAGAGCCACATGTGATTCCTGGCTGAGGCGGACATGGAGATCACAGCTCTCACAGAAATTACAGTGCCCCATTGACCAGTCAGGAAACTGCAGGACTACAGCCCTCAGGGATCTGGGCAACTTCAAATGACAACAGCCATGGGCACTAGCCTAGAGCAGTCCTCGTTCTTACCATTTCCTTTATCACTTGGATTTCTTCACTTTTCACAAGTGGCTTCATGTGATGGAAAAAGAACATGGTTAAGAATTCTGGTCCCAGCCACTGCTGTGTTGTGCTCCCAATAACAGGGGGCTCTGCCAAAGCGATGATTCTGAACGAGGGGTGGATAGGGAAAATAGATCTAAAGCAGGGAGGGAGAAAAACAAAGCATCACCATTCACAATAGAAACTGGGTCATGAGACTTGGAGCTTAGCAAAAACAGTCATTCTATTAATAATGTCAGATTTGTTAGCCCAAGAATAGACTGGGCAGTAGTCTTTAATCCCAGCGCTTGGAAGGCAGAATCAAGGAAATCTCTATGAGTTCAAGGCTAGTATGATCTACAGAGTGAGTACCAGGACAACTGGGGCTACTAAGAGAAAACCTGTCTTGAAAAACCCCAAAGGAAAAACAAGCAAACAAACAAAGAAACAAAAAGAATAGGCTTTGGGGGGAAAAATGCCAAGACTTTAAGAGTAAGAGACTGAAATTAAGAGTAAGAGAATGAAATAATTACTGATAAATGTACAATATGTACTTATGAAACCCCAGCCCGCCCCACAATCACTGCTTTGACGTGTTCTCATTCCTAATGCATTAAATCAAAATCCCTTGAAATGAAACCACACCAAGTTCATATTCATCACATAGATCCTCCATGTTTATGTAGTCACTTAAGCTTTCTCAAAACCTGCTTTTCAAGGAGCCTACTCTAAATGAATCATTGAGAAACTAAAATGCATCTTTTGGAGTGGGGAGACTTTTAAAATATAGACAATTTAAGTAAGTTATATGTGATCATATTAAATTTATAATTATGCTATCAAGAGATTATTTAGTAATTAAAAAGGTGAAGAAAGTAGAACTCATATACCACTCTTTTGTCATTGACACAAACATGTTGGGATTTTAAAATTTATTTTTCTTTAAGCAATCTATGCTAGGAAATCCATGGAAGCAAGTCAATATCCCAGAACACAGAGGAGGGTGACACTTCTCCTGGGCAGCAAAGCATTTGAGTGTCTGGGGTGGGAGGACTCAAAGAACAAATCATCTTATTATGATCCAACCAGGTAGGTGATATTTTTAGTTTTTATCAATCCCACTTAAAAAAAAAAAGCAGCAATAATAATTTTTAGAGGGTAACATCATTCTTGCTGAGCGAAAACAGCTAAAAATTTAGGTGCTTACTAAGGTTTGAGGAAAACAAAAATACAAATATGGAATTGGCATTGCAGGACCCCAGAGTATCAGGGGGTGGGCATGTGTGAAGTTAGAAGAACTTTAAAGAGTTCAGATAGGAGGAAATTGCATCAAGACAGAGGGCAGCTCTACTAAGTCACAACAACATAAAATTGTGAGGCCATATTGTTATTTGTGAGTCACAAAAAAAAAAAAAAAAAAAAAAAGAATCAACTTTGGAAATTGCCACCCAAAAGATAAGAATCAATGAATTACTACAATTTCACAGATATTTCACTTCACTGGGCTTTTTTAAAAAGAGTATGTATGTATGTCTGTATGTTGTAGCAGAGCCTGAAGACGATATATGAAAAAAAAAAAAAAAAAAAAAAAAGCCATCCTTGGAAAGCAGCGAAGGGTTACACATGTAATCGGCCTAAATGTCCTGAGGACAGGCCAGTGTCTCTAGGTTGTGGGTGCTAGTACCAAAGGAGAGGCCGCATGTGGGATCCTGAGACTGGCAAGCCACCACATTTCTCCTTCAGCTAAGGTGGTTGCCAACCAGGTGACTTCCCGAGGCTCAGTAACAGTTCCTGGATTCACACATGATCCTTCTGACTCCTACCTAGGTGGTAGGCAGGAGGTAGGGAGGTACAGAGCATGGTTTAGCTACAGATACAGTTTCTCACTTAAGATGAGGGACGGCAAATCAGGGAATAAAAGTCAAAAATCCAACAGGCACTCCGAGGGGAAGCCTAATGTATATTTGCAACTGAGGAAGAGGACACACAGCATAGCAGAGTCAGCCAAAGAGCAACCGAACTGAGGCAAGCTGGGTGCTTCAAGTGTAGACACAGTAACAGTCACAGCCTGGAACACACACTGTCTGCAGTAGGCTTTCTATTATTGGTTCTCACAACCACCAGAGAGAGGGAGGGGGCTGGCCAATCTGAAGGGGACCCATTCAGACATGGTTCATGTGCTGGGAGAAAGGTCCACGCTGTTGATAAAAACAGCCACCAAACCCCTGAATAACAGGATGAGAAGAACCTATAGTCAGAAGTTCTCCCAGAAGGCTTCCTTGTATACTATAGTTACACAGAGAGCCATTTCCTGATGCTCAATTTCCTAAGCCTGCAAGTTAGAGAGGAGAATCTGTCACCAGCTTCAAGGAGTATCAGCAAACCTCTGGGGTAACAACAGTAACAACGCTGAGGCTGAAGAAGGGTACTTCTTCACTATGTATACATAAATAAGCACTGTAAATATATAAAGCCAAGGTTAGGTATAACTTTGTTAGAATTTAATAGGACAACAAAACAAAATACAAGATAAAGCTTTCCTTTCAGATAAATATGTATCATTCCCTAAGGATTAAAAATTTTAGAAGATAAAAATGTGGTTTTTGTAAGCATTTAAAGACTATAGGGATTTGATATATTTGTGGGTACAGGTCCAGTTTGAAAATCTAAAATCCCTTCTAATGTTCTTCATTAAGAAGTGGAATGAGCAGGCTGTGAATGCACACATCTTAAATCCTTGCACTTGGTCCGCAGAGGCAGGAGGATCTCTGATGTTCATGGCCAGCCTGGTCTACCAAAGTGAGTTACAGGGCAACCAGGGCTACAAAGAGAAACCCTGTCTCAAAAAACCAAAATCATAATCATAAAATAAAATGGAATGAACCATTGCTATTTAACATGGATAATCTCACAGAAACTGAGAAGGAAAGTGGGCAAAAGGAGTGCATAGTGATTCTAACTATTAAAAACCAAACAAGCTATATAATGACCAGAAGAGGAGGCTGAGAGGGACAGGAGGGAAGCCCTAATAGGGTATAAAGGTATTCATGGAATTTCGATATGCTTGTTGTCTTCATTGTGATAATGAATGCACAAGATATAAAAAATGATCAAATGGTATATTCTAAATATGCCGTTCCACAGATCAGTTGACCTACACAAAGCCCTTACTAACAAAGAATGACTTCAATAAGCCCCAGCCTTTTGAAGGAAATTATACTACTTCTTGGTTGGATATGCATTTAAAATAACTTGGAAAACTAATATGGAAGGTTTCTGTAATGACATAGATTGTGGGCTACAACAGGAGTTAAAACTGGCCTCCTATGGTGTAACACTAATGCTCCCATCAAAACTGACAAGTCACACAGATCTGAGCACAGGCCACATGGCCTGTTCTTTCCAATGCCAGGGAACCACACAGCATGCATTCGTTCCCAATGCACACTGGACAAGACCTAGAGCAGCAGATAAGTGTGTGCTGCTGCATCCAACCACCATGACCAAAAGACCCCTTTCAAAGCACTTAGAAACCAGGACAATTCGTGAAGGAGTAAGAACTGACAGTATTCTCCTGTCCGAACTTCAGTGTCAACTGGGTCTTGAATGAGTGAATCTATGAGAGCTGCTGAATTCTGTGTATCAACAGACAAACAGAACTCACAATAAAAAGGAGTTACAAACTGCGCAGGGACGGGGTTTAGAAAGGATTTCTTGACCATAAAAGCACGTGAGATTCGTTTCAAACATCAGAACTTCCTTAAGGCTTATGTTTGGGGAACCAAACACCAAAATAAAATCTGGGGTCTCCCTTGAATTTGTCCATTTCTTTCATGAATTAATTGTTTAAAAAGCTGGTACAGTCTTTAGGAAGGTCGGAGAGAATGTTCATACTATAGCTGACTTCTAACATAGTAAGAATAAAGGGCTTGGGGAATGCGTTCTATGAAGAACTGTCAAATGCTGTTATGATTCATCAGTAATTAATAAGGAATGAGAGATTGTGAACTGCTTTTGACATTCAATACTAGCCTTTTAAAACAAAACATTCGCTAAAAGTAAAAAGTAGTAGAGCATATCTAAGAATATGCAGAACAGGCCATAAATCTATATTGCCTCTCTGCATCAGCCACCAGCAGGAAGGGACACATTTATCAGTCTAGAATTTATATTCCCTCTTTACAAAAAGTAAGTTTTTCTCATTAAAAGGAATAGTTCTATTTTGGTCCTTATTTGCTACAAAAAAAGTATGCGTGGTTGGTGTCTGACGTATGGCGCCATCACACTATTTTTAATTGCTGTGTCCCTGCACTCTTGATATCACAAAACAAGAAAACGCTAACATTTCTAAAGGTGGTTAGGCACATGACTGCCCGAGAACAATGTAAACCTCGCAGGGCACTCTGAACATGAAGAAGGCTATGGCCTTAGGGAAGAACTAGTAAACAATGAGGGCGATAAATATTATTTTATGAAACTGGGTTCAGGCATGAAGTTGAAAGGGTTGGGGGTACACAAACATCACTGTTAATTCTGGGAACCTATGCCATCAGGGCATCATTTTATTGAAGTACATTAAGGTACACCTAATAAACAGACTTATATATTATTTATTAAGGAAATAATGCTAGCCTAAAGGTCAACAATCACTTTTCCTTGGCTTTCTAAACTCTACCTCAGCTTAGGATTATTCACTTATTCAAAAGCATTTACTGCAGCTGGAGAGACAGCTCAGCTGTTAACACTCATTTCTCATGCAGAGGGCTTGCGTTCATTTCCCAGCACCCACAGGTTAGTTCACAACCATCTAACTCCAGTTCCACTGGATATGATGACCTCTTCTGATCTCTGTGGACACTAGGCACTCACGTGGTACACATACATACATACATATAAGCAAACACACACATAAAAATCAAACAAAATAAACCAAAACTTAAGTAGTCTACCATGAGCCAGGGATTGTGAGAGTAGACCCAGGCAAACTCAACACTGAAGACGGACTCTTGACAAGAATAAAGTCCCAGGATCCAGGTATTTATTTCCTGAGGACCAACTCCACCCTTCCCTTCATATGTGAGAGACTGCTATTCTCAATGAAACAACTGGGAAACATCTGATACTGACAGTCTAAGGAATCTTCCCAAACACAAGCAAGAAAACTGTTCCTATCAAAGCAGGTGTCTGCATCTTCAGAACTGGGTTCAAAGGGAAAGATGTTCTTGGATTTGCATTACCAGTAAGCCATTCACATGCATCAAAAACCAGGAGCTTTGCAGTCACCCCTTAAGAGGCACTGCTCCTCACACTGGTAGACACTGTTCTTAGAAAGCCATTCCTAAGAGATAGATTTATCTATTTGTGTAAGACTATAGGGGCTATTCCACTGGCAGCTACATCCCTCCCAAATCCCTTTTAAATAATAAAAACCCTCCCTTGCCAATTCTGGGACATTTTTCTTTTAAAAATCTTCCATAAGGAAATGAGGCATAAATCAAAACAAAAAGTGAGTTTGTTTAAATGCTACAAAAATAGAGCTTCAGCCACGTAACTTAATACAAAAAGAAAGGGCAGGTACTTTAGGCCAGGAAATTTTACTTTACATACTAATGCCCAGAGTGGCATGGTAGACAGACATGGACAACATGAAGCATCAACTCATGGTGGATAATGAGTCATAATTATTCACAAGTACAACTCATGAAACAAGTGGATTTCCTCACTTAGTACAAATTTCTGGCTTTTTATACTCTGTGATGTCCTTTGAGCCAAGCTGTTAGGCAATCAGCACAGTAACATGTAAACACATTACCCAAGAAGAACAACCCTGGAAGGAATATTGCCAACTGATTTAGATGAATCTAGTTCATCATGACTATGAAAGAAATGGGTTACCATATTAAATGGAAAATAACCAACCAAGAAGAGGTAAAGAAATTTACCATACTATTAGTGGGTGGCAGATTCTGCAATGTGATTATGTTAACAGTGACAACAAGAACTGCTTTCAATCAGAAGAAAGTAACTGCTGCTTGGCTACAAAGGTGGGATACTGGCAACGAAAATAATTAGACTTTCAACAGGCAGATGTGTTAGGTCCACCCTCAAAATGCCTGTGCCAGTGACACTGTCCTAAACAGAAAGACTTGGCTGGGTACAGAGAAGAATTTTATTGGGTAAACAAGCCTAAAGTTTCATGTTTACTAGAAAAGCAGATCTCTCTCGGGTGGGGTGGGGTGGGGGTGGTGAGGCCATCATCTCATCTACCAAGTACACCTGGTTTTAAACAGGCTATGTCATCGCACACAGAAGGCTAACACTTGTCTCTAAATGAAAACATTTGTACTTAGCACGACTACAAGCACAGTTCTGAGCACATTAAAGAATCTGATCATTTATAAGGTGGCTGACCACTAACTTGCACATCTTGATTATCTTTAACTGTTTACAAACAAGTTAGTCACTTTTGTAAGATTAGGATTTTAGTTTTATCCTTGTTAAATTTGAGTCTTAAAATTTGAATTGAAGGGGGCTGGAGAAATGGCTCAGTGGTTAAGAGCAATGGCTGCTCTTCCGGAGGACCTGGGTTCAATTGCCAGCACCCACATGGCAACTCACACCTGTGTAACTCCAGTTCTGGTGCTTCTAACACCCTCATACAGACATACATGCAGGCGAAACACCAATGAACACAAAATAAAAGTAAATTATTAAGGAGCTGAAGATCCTTTAGCTGCACATCAAAATAAAACTTGAAATCATAAACACAGTCCAGAAAGAGACTGTGAGCTTTGCTTTTCTTATCCTTTCATAGTGTACATTTACAGAATATCACAGTTATCTAAATAGCTAAAAGCTTAACAAAATCAGCAAAGACAAAGAGCAAAGAGTCTAGGCCTACATCTTCAAGTCAGTTTCTGCTAGCCTGAATAGATGGGCCTTTGCAACCTTAGGAATTTTTAACTATAGCCATCAGACATTTATTGTTAGATGTTTCATAAACAAGAACTGAATCCAAATTCCTTTGGACCTGACAAGTATTTTAATGATTCATTTCATTTTCTTTTTAACCATGTGTATGCATGTTTATATGTGTGGGTTTGTGCACTCAGTGCAGTACCCTCTGTGGCCAGAAGAGGACATCAGATCCCCTAGAACTAGAGTTACAAGTGGTTGTAAGCCAATCAAACCCAGGTCCGCTCCAAGAGCCAGGCATGTGTTAACCACCGAGCCATTCCTCCAGCCCTTCAACAGGTACAAGGATTTCAGACAAGAAAGGATCACTGTTAGAACATCTTGCTTCTGAAAATTTAATGAAGACAACAGATGGATGATAGGATATAAAAAAGAAAAACACTACAAGTTCTGGCCAGGAGGTTCTGCCTACATCTAAATAATGAAAAGCACTGGAGACCAGAGAGATTCAGGCCTAAGATGCACAGGAGCTACCAATCTAAAATGAGTCCAGAATTACCGCAGGAAGAATACGAAACTGACAGAACATGGAATCGTAAATTAGGGTGTGCCTGAAGGAGATGCGATTTCACCAACAGAGAGAAATGACTGGGATAAAAAGGTGACTTAAACATAGAAAAGAGGGCCACTTCCCCCTCAGTGTCATCACACCATTATCGTACAGATTTCCACTCTGACATTTCATTGCATTTTCTTCACTTAGAGTTCAATCTTTCATACAGAGGAAATCACTAACTTTAGGGAAGACAAGATAGGTGTATGAAAAAAAATCTATTTTAATATATTGAATGAGTCAGTTGTAGTTCCTATGCTGTCCTGACAAAGTTCAATAAAATTCCCCCAGAAGAATAAGGGGCTGGAAACAAGTATGTGCAATGAGAAGAGAGATGGACAAAGGTCTGCAACTTCATTTCATGTGCAGGGAAACAGCTGGGGATTATTAACATCGACAAGTCAACAAACACTGATGAAGCTCGTTGCTTGGTGATAAGAGGCAAACATCAAAAGAACCTGCTAGGTATTAGAAACAAAAACCTCTAGGAATACAAGTGGAACATGAGAGACAGTCATGGAACTCATGACAGGGGTCTGGTGTTTTTCATAAAATGCTCTGGAATTTCTATCTGGCTCAAGTCTCATGTATGTTTGACCTTAGGAAAGAGTGAAACTTCTTTTTTAAACTGTAATGAAAAGTGAGTATTTTCATGGCCTCCCTCCCCTTTCTCAGCATGATGCTGGGGACGGAGATGAGATGCACTTGTGGGAGAGGCACAGCCTTTGAGAAGGAAGGACTAAGGACCACTATGGGCACAACCCTCAACACGAAGCTCAAGTCCACTCTGTTCCTAAGAGGGTTTCTATTTGCGAAACCTTGTATGGCTGTCAGAGAAAACGTGGATCCTTTCCACAGAAAAAGGTTGTCATTTCCTGGATATCTGGCAGAAATTCAGGGCTCCCGACGTCCTAAGGAAAACTGCCTGGCAAACACAGGCGCTGTTGCTCAATTACTCTGATTCATCTTTCTGAAAATCTGCACTCTTCCCTACCAACCGTGATTCACACACAAATAATGTACAAACTGTGAGTGCCATGCATAAAAGGATGGAATGAGGGTGATCTCCTTGGCTTACTGACCTAAACACTAAATGGAGCCACTTCCAAGCAGCAGCAGTTGATAAGGTAAACCTCGATATGCAGTTCTGAAATCCCCTTGAGTAATCTAAGTAACCAGAAGTTAACATTTCCTTTACAAGGCAAAAATATAAATGTACACCCAGTGATTAATATACTTCGCTGGGTTTGGGCAGCTTCTGTGTTTCTAATATGGGAAAGGGAAAGCTTCCGATGCATCAGGTTAGATTAAGTTCAGCCGAAAATATGGAATGATAATTTCAACTTAGCTGTTAGTAAGAATAACATATTCAAGGGTTGCCTAGATGGCTCAGGGGGTAAAGGCGCTTGCTGCTAAGCCTGAGGATATGAGTTTGATCTACAAGGCCCCAGTGGAAGAAGAGATCTGACTCTCTTAGGTTGTTCTCTGATTTCTGTGTGTGAGCTGTAGTGTGTACCCACACATACATGTACATATAATAAGTGTTAAAAAAATGAGGAGAATACTGCACTCCAGATTACCTTTCCTGCAGCTGCTCATCTGTTAGCTGCAGTCCCTCCTTCAAGCTCAGGTACCTGTCTTGTCTCAGCAGTCTCGATCCATCGTACAGGCTGAGCTCCCGGTCATGGATGAGTCTGATGGGGTGGGGGAAACAAATTAATCAACAACACATGAGAGGCAGAATCACTCAGCTAATACTTAACCTGCCTGTCATTGCTGGTGGGCGAGCCTGAAGGTGTACTTTTCACAGTGGTAACTTGGTCAGTGCCATTTTATGTTATCCTTGGCAGATGTACTAGACTCTCTGCAGGGTAGCAGTCCCGAATGCCAGAGAGAGGTATGAAGGAGAAGAGGCAGGAGAAGGGGAGGAGGAGGTGGGAGAAAAACAGCTGAATGAGTATCTCAGGTCAACTGTGGGGCATCCATTCAGAAGCAAGCCAGTTAGCACACACTCCTGAATCCAATGTAAGAGAATGGAGACTTCGTGAGGGAAAATATCAAAGTATTTCTACAGTTGGAATTGCAGGATTTAAAATATCAAAAGCCTCTGAAATAACTCCACTGTTATTTCCCACAGCAGCCCTGAAATAACCTAGCTACCCACACAACATAAGACACCCCAGTTAGGTACTATAAAGGTCAAAGAGCAAAGACCAATGCAAAAGATTTGGGCACAGGCAGAATGGTTCCTGTTCAATTCCAACTTTGCACTTACTCGCTGAATAATCAGGGAAGGGAGAACCATTCCATCTCTCTAAATTTTATTATAAAATTAAGGCAAAAATTAAAAAAGAGCCAACCTCATAGATTTAGTGTGAAAACTGAACAATTAATATGAAATAGATGCTTAACATCATTGCTCTTAGTCTAGACTTTAAGTTAGGACCTCTAGGCAGTATTTAAAAATACCCATGTTCAAAACTCAGGCCTGGATCAATTACTTCAATAATTAGTGGAGATGAAGGCCAGGCACTGCTGTGGAACAATCTTTGCACACTGTGAATATGTATTTCTCTCATTGGTTAATAAAGAGCTGACTGGCCAATTGCTAGGCAGGAAAGATTGGGCAGGAGAGCCAGACCAGGAGAATTCAGGGAAGAAGAAGGGCAGAGTCAGAGGAGTAGCTAGCCAGGTGGAGAGTCAGCAAGAGATGCTGGAGAGGTAACTCCCATGAGCCTCAGGGCAGCACATAGATTAATAGAAAATAGGTTAAGTTGTAAGAGTTAGTTAGTAATAGGCCAAACATTTATAATTAATATTAAGTATCCATATTGGTTATTTGGGAACCAGGGCAGGAAAGAAAAATCTGCCTACAAGGCATTGGTATTTTTAAAGTTCCATCCTGCAAGGTGGCCCAAGGCTGAGAACTGGAGACTCAAGTTTAGCACAGTGCAGGAACACTGCACTCTTTTGTACTTGGTCAGACATCTGAGAGACAGCCAACAAGAGAGGACTGAGTCTCTTCTCATTTTGTATTCACATTTTGTATTCACATTCATGTTTGGCAGAGAAAAAGAAATTGTAAGTCTATGAAATGTTTGTGGTAAATCACTAAAATTTCATGATTACTATTTTTAAATCCACACAAACTGAATCAAGATTAACACAACACATTTGGAATCTTTCATTGCACTTGGTATCTGCATCTTGTCAGCAATAAAAAACCGTGGTTAGCTAGTTAAAGAAATGGCTTGTTTCATCTATTTGACACTTCCCAGCAAGTCAGATTAAAAATCATGTAGCAGAAGGGATGAAAAGCATCAGTAACCTTTTAAAGGACACAGGCTATGAATATTTTCCACAGAAAATTACACATAGAGAATATTTCAAAATTAAATTCTAGAATTCTAGAGTTTTTGAAATGTGTGGGTAACTTTTTCATACTCAAAACAAGAAAATGGTGGTTACAGAAATGTTCATCTGTACGCCAACTGATTGAAACAAGCAAATACATATATATTTTATATTAAACATTTATTTTGTTTCAAAATTAAACAAAAAAAGTTCCTAAAGCTCAGGCCCCAGTGTAGATCTGGGATGATTTCTAAGCAGTGCAGTTAGACGCTCCAGCTGTATGGCTCCTTGCTCATCTTAATCTACATATGGAAGGAAGGAAGGAAGACTTGGAAACCACTGCTGCCGGGCTTTCTTCCTTCAGCTCTTACATAGCAAATTCTGGCACAGAAGTGGGGTTTGGAGCCTCATAATCATGTGTTTATAACAACAAATGTTAATAATACTTTATTCAACTTGAGTATAGAATTGTAAATTCCTCAGGATCTGCATAACCCAGGGTTTAGGTTGGCAGAGAGACTGTGTGACACAAACCTTTGCAATACAGCCAGCGTGCCAGCGTTGACCCGGTGGATGCCATCCAACAGGACCAGCTTGCCTTCTCGAGCAGCATTCACAAGGGGTGACGATCGCCAGGCAGTGTCACCATTGGGGAGTGTGTACCGCTGCTGTAGCAGGTCACGTGCTGTCATATCCTAAAACCAATCATGCGGCAAAGAAAACGCAGAGTTAATGTTAAAGACACCTGTCATACTTAGCCTTAAAGACACTTTTCTCTGCATACAACAATTCTCTTTGCAGGGCATATAATGTGAACCTGTGTTTCATTTATTTACACCCACCCTTACTCTAACAGTACATATGAGGTTGTATAAGAACATACAACAAAACAGCATGACTTAAAAGGCGAGGCAATAAGGAGTAAGCTGTGCTTCCTTTTAGCACGCTACTACTAGCTCAATGGGTAGAGTACTTGTCCCACATGCAGGGAGCTTGTAGGGATGACCCAGCACTGCTGGGAATGTGAGACTCTGAGACAACAACTAAACCCCACTCCTATTGAGTTCAAAGAGGTAGTAGTTGGAAGGAGGCAGCCTGACATTGTATTTGCAAAGAAATGAATGGATACAGACTTTGAAAATCCTAGGTCCACACTGAAAACTGGTTAACACACTGGTCTAATTCAGTTCTAATGTTTTTGTCCCCAAAAATGAGATCAAGATGCCCTGCTTCTGGCATAAGAAGCTCAGAGTCCCAAGAAACTGAAGCTAGCTAGCTTGTTGGTGTTTTGTTATTGTATGTTTTGTCAATACAGTTAATTCTTCATTCTCAAACAAGAAAATACTGAATCACAACTCTATGCAAGATATTAAAACATTCCACATGTCCTCATCCAAAGTTACTTCACACAGTTTACAGTGACCACCTCACTGACATAATATTCTTTGAGAGATGAGCGAGGGGTCAGCACAATGGACTCTCCATTTACAGCCTAGCTGCTGGTGAGTTACTTATAGTGATCGAAGCAAAATGAAACAATTATTTGTTGCTACACAACAAGTTGTAATAGAACAATATTGTCCAGTGCTATTACTACCAATCACATCTACAGACCAAAAATAGCCTTCCTTTATTTAGTCTTCAGAACAGAATGATTGGTATTTTACGGACTAGCTCAACTCATTGTATCACTTTAATTTTCTGCATATCTTCATGAAAGTTGTTCACGTCTAGATTACTATTCATTAAAAAAAAAAAACTCCATCGAGGAAAAAGCATTCCCTTTAATATATGCTATCATCTTTTATAAATAGGCCCCTGCATTGAAAAATAAAGTCTAGTTGTTCAAGGAAGTAGTTGGCCCCATTTCTCCATGAATTAATATCGATGTTACCTTCAACTGTGGATGTTATTTTCAGTTGTATAAGAATTCAAGGGCAGCAACCTAGACATTCATAGAACTGGACTTAATCAAGTGCAATCAACAGCAAAACCTGAATGGTTGGGGTTAGAATTAAATGCAGGTAATATACTCATCTATAAAATAATACACAATTTTTGTGGTTTCTTTCTTTTTTCTTTTTTGGTTTTTTTGAGACAGGGTTTCTCTGTGGCTTTGGAGGCTGTCTTGGAACTAGCTCTTGTAGACTAGGCTGGTCTCAAACTCACAGAGATCCGCCTGCCTCTGCCTCCCGAGTGCTGGGATTAAAGGCATGAGCCACCACCGCCTGGGTTGTGGTTTTTTTCAACATCTTGTTTGTTCCTTTTGAAAAAGATTAATTCACATATGTATTTTATGTTTATGGGTGCTTTGTCTGCATGTATGTCTACACACTATAAGAGGGCATCAGATCCCATTATAGAAGATTGTGAGCCACCACGTGGGTGCTGGGGACCAATCCTCTGCAACAAGTGCTCTTAACTGCCAACCCAGCTCTCTTGAAAATGTCTTAATATTTTCATTTAACATATTCGTAGGTAGAATGGGACTTATGTGTACATTTGTGTATACATTTCTTATTCTTCCTACCTATATGCATATCAGTAAATTGGCAAATGAAGACTTTTGTAAGCTTGCTTTTTATAGACATCTTTGGAAGCACATTACTAAAATTACGAGAACAATGAATGCCCCCGTTTTTTGCATATATTTTCTCATTCCTGAAACCTCTGAACTTTTGAGGATAAAAATAGCACTAATAATATCATGGAGCCCAAGCATTTCCTATTCTGCATTTCCTCAAACGCTTTAAAGCAGGACATGAAATCTAGCTCATTTAAAAGCTTCCATTGTCTTCTTCAACACAGCTCCTCCTTTTAGAGTCCATGAACACCCCACACATCTCCTAAGATCTGGTGTCCTATGAAACTATGCTTTTTTGAAGCAGAGGAAGCCTATGAAAATGGAAACATCTTAAGAAGCATGACTGCAGTCCATGTATCTGAGGACATCGACTTGAACTTTAAAACAACAATGTGCCTCTGATGTCTTCAGGATTTTTGCATAGTTTAAGCTAATTTTTCCAACATGTTAAGAGACCCACATATGAATCCTTGGCCAATAAGAAAACCATGGCTGTTTACAGAGAACCTGGAATTGGATTAGAATTAGTTTCAAGTTACAATGTCATCAATAAAGAAAATTGACATATGAAGCAGGCTTGTTTCTAATTTGAACTAATAAAAAATAATTTAAAAATACAAGTAAAAAAATAAAAAGAAAGTAACAAACTCTTTAGCTAAAAAAAAAAACAAATTTACAGTGTACTTTTTAGTGTATAAAAGAAAATTAACTGTCTCTCTTTAAATATAAATACTGACACCAGAACTATAATTTTACACTGTAATACATATGTAATTTTTTTAGTAAAGAACTAAAATGGGTTTGGCAAAATAGGTATCAAAGTACATACAGAATAGAGCCTCAGTTGGGTTTAAAACAGTACATTTGGGGGTGAGATGGGGGAAGGGGTGGACAACAGGGTCTCATTATTCAGCTGACCTGGAATTCAATTATATAGATCAGACTAGTGTGGAAGTCAGATCAGAAGTCCACCTGCCTCTGACTCTCAAGTACTGGATTAAACATGTGCAGCACCACACCTGGCCCCCAAAGAACGCATATTCTTACCATAAATACGAACTCAGGAAACTGAAAGCTTTAAATTGACTTCCAAATATTTGTCCAACATACTAAAGATTATGAAACTAAGAAACAAAAAGCATACAAAATATATTACAGGAAGAATTTGAATGTAAACTGTATAATACCCAACATAAAGACTGTCGTAGGATGTGCGTGGTGACACCCTGACACAGGCCTGTGATTCCAAAATCAGGTGGCAGAGGCAGGAGAGCCCAGAGTCTGAGACCAGGCTGGACTACAGAAGAGAAGGTGTGGAGAAAACAAGAAGGAAAAAGGCACCTCACAGCAAAGCCAGCGACAAATTTCAGCAGAAGAACTCCACATAAGAGCTGGTCTCCTTGAGCCAACCGATGGGCAGATTTCAGAGACAAGAGCTGCCAACTAACTACACAGGTGCTGGGCTCACTTTACAAGCCAAACCCTGCATTTCTTTAAAAGTAGTGTCTATGATGTTAATTAACTGCACCACACACACACATACACACACAAATCTGCTTGCCAGTGCTACTGCAAAATATCTTTAAATATACACATAGAAATAAAATTATCCTAGTTAGGGGTTGGATGGCTCAGGGACTAAGAACACTCCCAGCTCTTCCAGGGAACTGAGGTTCAGTTCTCAGCATCCACATGGTGGCTCACAACCCCCTGTAAATCCAGGTCCAAAGGATTTTAAGCTGTACTTAGCTTCCATGGGCAACAGGTAAGCACATGGTATATTCACATACATGAAGGCAAACACTCATGAACATAAAATAAAAATATATAAATATCTCTCTAAATGTCCTAGTTAAACTAAGATTATCTCTAGGTAGATATAATTCTTTGCTCACTTAAAACATTAACAGTGGGAATCTGATATTTCTTATTTTGGTAAGTATTTTGATAAATAAATGCTACCAACTATTTTGGTTTTTGAAAAAAAAAAACTAGCCAGAATTTTGTAGGCTTTCAAAGTTTACCAAATATACAGATATAGATAGATTGATGTTTGACACATACACCTCTATCCATGGAAACCACTAGGGTCTATTTCGAGTTGATCTGCTCTAGTTACAGATTCACTTTATAAACATAACACAAAGCTCTCAGGCTGGTGACATGGCTCTATGGGCAAAAATATCCTTTGCATAAACCTGACAAACTGAGTTCAATACCTAGAAACTGGAAAAAGAAAACTGACTCCCTAACATTCTCTCTCTCCCCCTTCCCCCTCCCCTTCTCTCTCTAACACACACACACCATAATTTAAATTTTCTCTGGTTAGAGCTAATCAAGTTAACTATAGTGTTAATAATGAATTTATTAATGATGGAATCAACTAAAGGAAATATTATAAAGTCTCAAAATAAAACAGACACCCAAGATCAGAGTGGGTATGAATAATTTAACAAATTAAATGAAAATATCCAATCAAATTGTCTCCTGATATGCTTTCTATACTATATGGGCTGGGAAGTCCTTTCCTAATGCCTTTGTAGCTGGTATTCTGTAAGTGAGCCATGCTCTACCAAACAAGAGCAACAATTGCTCTTCTAAGGGCAGCTGTCATTGAAACTTTCCTGGATCTGTCATTCTAGACTGGGTAAACTCCGTCATTCTCCAACCTGTAACCCAGTTAACAACCTGTAATAATTCTCTCCTAGTATTATCTTTAATGAATACTGTTGATCATAGAGAAAACCACAACTTAAGGATGGCATTAAAGAATAAAACCAATTATTAAACAACCAGATTTTACCCCAATTACAAACTCTATAAAGGAGCAGAGGTAGGGAAGCCCCATAAATTCTAGATTAGGACATCAGCAATAACTGTCTTATAGGAGATTTATTTTCAAAATCATATAATATGCAAGATCAAGACTTATACAGGTACATGATTACCTGTTTGGTATTCAGCAAAGACATCTAGATATGTCATTTGATCAAACTCAACATCAGCAAAATCCCTGCTAGTCTGCCAATGTGAAAAGCAGCATATTTGAAGGGATGGTGATTTTCAACTTGCTATTTTCAGTACGGCTTCAATGTAGTTTTGTAGCTTTCT